TTATACCAGTTTTGGATTTGTGCTTTACAATAAGGTAAACAAGTTGTGGGCTTAAACCAGAGACCAGTTTCCTGGGGATTGTGGAAGCTTCATTTTGGATGGGTGAAAAAGAGAGCCTCCTATTGTCTGTACAGTCCCATTTATTAAAAAAGACAAAAGACAACTTGGAAGAAATTCAGAAATGATTGTCAGTATCTAAAAGGGCCAGGCTGCTTAACTCCTACAGTAGATGTAGGACATATAAATCCAATTTGGAATTGTATTTTTGTATTGGGATAAAAAAACCACGTAAACACATAAGATAAAATTTACCATCTCAACCACTTGTAAGGGTACAGTTCAGCAGTGTTAAGTATATTCCTATTGTTGTGAAGCAGATCTCTAAAATGTTTTTATCTTGCAAACCTGAAACAATACCCAGTAAGCAGCTCTCCATTTCCCTTTCCCTCATCCCTGGCAGCAACCATGCTGCTTTCTATTTCAATGAATTTGACCCCTTTAGATACCTTAGATGCAGTATTTATCTTTTTTGTTGTTATTAATCCTTAACAGAATATATTTTTTCCATTGCTTTTCAGAGAGAATGGAATGGAGGGAGGGAGGGAGAGAGGAGGAGAGAGAAACATCGATGTGAGAGAGACACATCGACTAGTTGCCTCCTGCAAGCACCCAACCAGGGGTGGGGCTGCAAACTAGGCGTGTGCCCTTGACTGGGAATCAAACCCAAGACCCTTCCGTGTGCAGGCGGAAGCTCTAACCACTGGGCCACACCAGCCAGGGCAGTATTTGTCTTTTTGTGGTTTATTGCACTTAGCATAATGTCAAAGTTCACACATATTGGCATGTGACAGGATTTCCTTCCCCTTTAAGGCTGAATAATATTCCAGTGTATGTATATACCACATTTGTTCATCTGTAGATGGACATTTGGGTTGCTTCCCCCTCTTGGCTATTGCAAATGGTGCTGCTATGAAGATGGGTGTACAAATATTTCTTTACAACCTTACTTTAAATTCTTTTGGATACACACCCAGAAGTGGGATTGCTGGATTATGTGGTGGTTCTATTTTTAACTTTTTAAATAACCTCCATACTAATTTTTTATAGTGATTGTACCTTTTTCATTCTCATCAGCAATGAACAAGAGTTACTCATCCTTGCCAACACTTACTTTGTTGTTTTTTTTTACACATTTAGTTTTATTCTAACAAAGCAACTTGTACAATTTTAACGTTTAAAACTGAGCATCTTTTCCTTTCCAGTGAAACAAAAAGAAAATTTAAAAATAAACAGGAACAAAATTACAATAGAGAGTTTCAATTCTAAGTAAGGCCCTAGGGGTTCTGCTGGTTCTCCATCGAGTGGCAGGGCTCAGGTCATCGTCAGGAGAGAATTTTAAAAGTGTCATCTTAAACTGCCAGGATGTCCGTTAAACATCACAGGTAAACATGCCAAAGGAGAGGCCATGTTGTCAAAATGCCCACTTAACCCACCCAAACATCTCAAACCCACCCTTTGCTGACCTTCTATAACCTCCCCCCCTTTTAAATTTTTT